GAGAAGGTTTTTAAAATAAATCTACTCGCAAAATGTACGTCACAAACGTAACATTTATTTGTTAGCATCTTGTCGTCTCGTGGAATGCATCGCATCCACTCCTCAATCCTATCGCTAGGAGCACGGAAGAAATGTCTCTTCTCGTTCGATGACTTATATCCTGCGTTGCATCCTGGCACAAAGCACGTTGGCATTTTTATGGAGCTAAAAAAACAATTATTTGGTCAAAATCACTGACTTCAGTATATACCTAGCAAGAACAACGATCTCCTGCTAACAGTGGCGCCGACTAGCGGCAAATATTGTCTCTAGCTAAATTTGAACTATTAGTCGAAAGACCAGTTAATCTACTGACTCTGACAGAGTTTAGGCTAACTATCGTCTGTACAGTATGCAAATTAGGTACCGTAAGTCTAATACAGTACTGTAATTTTATACATTTCTTGTGAAAGAACATTTCTTATTCAACGGCAATTAAAATCATTTATATTAATGATGTCTCCAAAGTTCAGCGAATTTTTCGCAGAAAAATAAGTTATTAGAAATCGGCCGCGGTTTGCTGAGCTGTTCCGCGACGAAAACAAGCTTTAGCAATGGCGATGTCGAATGGTGCACACTCGGTAAGTAATCCTACAATTTTTTGTTTATAGCGTAGTTTATACGGATTATTCTACAAAAAATATACGTATTTTGGAAATGTTGAGTCGGATTAGTCTAGAATCGATTAATTTTATGGAAGAAAATCTTTCAATCAGCTGTAGTCCGTAAACTTCTCACGTGTCGGGCTGTGATTGGAAGGACTCGTAAGAAATCGGATTCCTAAGGAATGGAACGTATCTATGATCTTATAGGGGTGTCGGCTGTATTTAATTATAGTTAACAATTATTATATCTTGTAAACCTCAAAATTCATAATTTCTCAGCATATTACACAATGAAGTCTATATGTTTCTGTATAATCGATTTCAATTATTAATACATAATTTATTTTTACGTGTACGAGTTAATGTATACACACTGCAGAAGAGTGCATAATGTTTCTTCCTTTTGAAACAAAATCAATGTGCAAAACCATAATTACGAGTAATTGCGAATAATTCTGGTTAAAAGTTTACAAAAACCACTACTTCTATGCTAAAAAATAATATTTTCGATAAAATATAGCTCGTGAAATGTTTTAGATGTAATAATCCAACATAACATTATCCGTACAGCCACACTGCGTGGATTCGTATTAATAATGATCATATCGGAATAAATAGGTTTTACATAAATAGTTACTTTAATTACTATTTTTGGTTTGTATATTTTCTAGGAAAAATCTTAATTCGATTTTCCAAAGATGTTAGTTCCATGGATGAATTGTTACCTTACTTTGCATTCTTCGTGATAAGAGTAAGTTAATTTTGAATATATAGATTTAAATTA